ACACCAACACAGAAGTTCACACACACACAGACATACATAGCTAGTTTACACACAGACATACATGGCTAGTTTACACACAGACATACATGGCTAGTTTACACACAGACATACATGGCTAGTTTACACACAGACATACATAGCTAGTTTACATACAGACATACATGGCTAGTTTACACACAGACATACATGGCTAGTTTACACACAGACATACATGGCTAGTTTACAAACAGACATACGCATGGATAACATATACACACCCACACACAGAGGTTCACACACACAGACATACATGGCTAGTTTACACACAGACATACATGCCTACTCTTTGATAACTTATACACACCCACACATGGATAGTTCACACACATATGCCTACTCATGGATAACTAATACACACCCACACATATGTAGTTCACACACACACATACTCATTGATAACTTATACACACCCACACATGGATAGTTCACTCACACATACTCATGGATAACTTATACACACCCACACATGTATAGTTCACTCACACATACTCATGGATAACTTATACACACCCACACATGGATAGTTCACTCACACATACTTATGGATAATTTATACACACCCACACATGGATAGTTCACTCACACATACTCATGGATAACTTATACACACCCACACATGGATAGTTCACACACATACACATACTTATGCATAACTTATACACACCCACACATGCGTAGTTCACACACCCACACACGGGTAGTTCACACATCCACACACGGGTAGTTCACAAACGCACACACAGGTAGTTCACACACCCATACATGTGTAGTTAACGCAAGACACAGACAGACATTTATAGCTATTTTACACTCAGACATACCCATGGATAATACATACACATACTTAAAACGACTTGGCTTGAGTTGGTTGATGGCCTATGCTCCATTGGGGGACAGAAAGCAGAAGACGAAGATCAGTGCTGTTAATCAAGTCATGATCAACTCTTGAACGTAAATCTGTCCAGTCAAGCCACAACGACAACACATGCTGGGGTGGGTTAGTTAGGGCGTGTTCAAGTGTAAAGGATAGACTCGCCTTTCCTTCTATATACATTCTTTGCAGCGGTGTATCTATTTCATATAGTGTGCCTTCGTTTATTTCCAACTATCTCAATTGTTGACAGACATGAGGAAAAAACGCGAGGAGTTCGATACCCTGTTTGCAATCGTGTTTATCCCAGCATGCATCAGTAATTAAATCTACAAAACCACCTGAGGTCGGCGCCTTTGATCTTAGTTCCCCAGAACTTAACACAATAATGCAGTGTTACAGCTGCCTGCCCCCGCCCCCCTACCTGGTGCAGCAAGTAGAGCAGGCCAGTCAACAAACCTTTAGCTAAATACTGTCTGCACCGGGCGCTCCACAATCTACTCTAGTCTACTTGTCCTCTCAACAACCCCACCCACCTCTCGCCTCTCGTGTGGAAGCAGGATCTTACTCCCTTCTCCTGCCCCTTAAAGCGGCTTCCACTTGGCAGAGTAGAGCGGGAGGGATGGAGGGAGAGAAAGAGAGAGAGAGAGAGAGAGAGAGAGAGAGAGAGAGAGAGAGAGAGAGAGAGGGGGGGGGTGGAGTTCCGCAACGACATAGCATAAAAAGTCCTTTTTAATAAAAAAAATTTCTACCCGGGGAATTTCTCCCAACCCCAAGTCTGACCTTCAAAGGTCACCCCACCCCGCCTTAGAAACACAGGCTGGTGGTGTGTAGCTTGCCCCCACCCCGCCTCAGGAACACAGGCTGGTGGTGTGTAGCTTGCCCCCACCCCACATATATGTGTGGGGGCGAAGTGGGTTGGAGAGGACCAATCCCTGCATTCACCATTGCTGCTGGAGCCAACCCCCTCGAGACCCCGCTGGCGTGTTCAGACACAGTGGCCCAGCACCAACAACACAGGACGGGCCGGGGGGATGGTCGGGCGCCACAGCTGCTACAGCCAGCCTCAACGTTCGAGGGACCTACCTAACGTGCTATTTTCTCTCCCAACGATCCGTGCCTGCTGTATCAAAGGTAAGTCCTGACAGCTATTACCTTCTCTATGTTCCTTGTATAATGTTTCAGTTGTGGCAACTTACATTCTCTGCGTCACTGTATCCTAGTTCACTTGCGGCAGCGGTTACTGCTGACATTATCCCTGTTATACTGGTGATTACACCTTCATTGGATGAAGATATGACCCCATATCGAGCGATTAACACTAGATGACACAAAGTGCCACCATTTGGATGATACCCGTCTCCGGTCGCGTCCCAAAAACCTCGTTCAGCGGCGGTAGACACAGAAGTAAGGGAACTGATAGATCAGCATTCAGACCCAGAAGATACCATCATCTACACAGATGGATCTGTGAAGCGCGGATCAAGGTCAGCATGGGCATACACAGCGCAAAGAAAGGGGAAAACAATACATGAGGACAGCGGCGCTTACCAGACAACCACGTCAAGCATGACAATGGAAATAGCCGCTGCTTCTAGAGCTTTAGCATGGGTATCCGAGCAAACCGCCACACAGGTAGTAATTGTCTCAGACTCAATGAAAATGCTTCAGAAGATAGCAACAGGCAGTATGCGCTCTGAATGGATAGAAAGCATCAGGAAATCGCACTTAACCTCCGTAACCTGGATCTACACACCGGGTCATGCGGGCGTGAAGGGAAATGAGCGAGCAGACCAACTGGCAAGCACTGCACTAATGATTGCAGGGAAAAGTATGGACAGAGCAGACATAGTCAACGCTGTACGAACCGGGCTAGTGGAGAATGAGGAATCCCTGACACTAACACGATTGCGTGACATGGGAGTTAAGCATGGTGATGCACGTCTTTGCCGTCTTCGAGGCCGAGAAAGGAGACAATATAACCAGCTTCTCATGGGGACAATTAGTAGAAGTACTTTAGAGTGGCTGCTGCTTCGGAGAACTGAGCACGCATGGGTATGCCCAATGTGCAGTGACATTAATTGTGATAACAGAACATAAAATAACATCTTAGTAGGGAGTCGGCAATACGAAACCCAAGTTCAAGGTGTCTCCTTCGTGCCAAAGAACTGCATGGCTGTTGGGTGAACAGTCGTTAACGAGGGCAGGCAGGTCGTTGTAGGGGCGACGCCTGCTGGTGGATGTAATGTCCTAAGTCCCTTCCCCAGCTAATAATGAGGGTACTGCTGGGGTGACCGTTTATTAACCCTCATATAATTCTTCCGGTCAAAATGGACGCTAGGTACGGCCACTTTTTTTTTTTTTTTTTTTTTTTTTTTAAAGCCGTGGCAAATATTTTTCCAGACGGTGGCCGTTGCATTTTTGCTCCATTTGTAGACTGGAAGGATGTAGTTTCGTCGCCCAGCTTCTGAGTTGAGTGCATGGCGTGACACTGTGAGCTGCGTTTGTTTTTCGTTGGCACAGGAGCGGAGCATGTGTGGGGTGACCCGTTTGCTATGAAGCTGAAACTAGGATTACCAGATTACCAGATCGTTCAACGGTGACGTTAAATTATTGCCCCTGTCGACAACCACCCGGCCGGCCTTAGAGCCGTTGACTTCTTCGTCTGCGTTCGCCATGAAAGGAACTTAAATAAACAGTTAGGGAATACTTCAGGCCATGGAACACACACATACACACACACACACACACACACACACACACATATATATATATATATATATATATATATATATATATATATATATATACATATATATATATATATATATGGGTGTTGATCACATAATGTCTATTTGGTTTTATATATATATATATTTATACACACACACATACACACACACATATATATATATATATATATATATATATATATATATATATATATATATATATACATACACACACACTATATATACATACATATATATATTTATACATACACACACACACTATATATATATATAACCAAATAGACATTATGTGATCAACACCCATAAAGCGAGGTGCTCTAGCCATTTGGTTGTTACAGGTTCGATTCCCGGCATGGTAACTGTATGGTGCAATCTTCATCAAACTGTTTACATCTAGCTCACATCGCAACAGGCGAACCTTTCTCGTCAACCCGACAGCGAATCAGACACAACAGGGGAAACTTTCTCGTCAAACCGACAGCAAACCAGACACAACAGGGGAAACTTTCTCGTCAAACCGACAGCGAATCAGACACAACAGGGGAAACTTTCCCGTCAAACCGACAGCAAACCAGACACAACAGGGGAAACTTTCTCGTCAAACCGACAGCGAATCAGACACAACAGGGGAAACTTTCCCGTCAAACCGACAGCAAACCAGACACAACAGGGGAAACTTTCTCGTCAAACCGACAGCAAACCAGACACAACAGGGGAAACTTTCTCGTCAACCCGACAGCGAATCAAACACAACAGGGGAAACTTTCTCGTCAACCCAACAGCAAACCAGACACAACAGGGGAAACTTTCTAGTCAACCTGACAGCGAACCAGACGCAAGAGGGGAAACTTTCTCGTCAACCCGACAGCGAATCAAACACAACAGGGGAAACTTTCTAGTCAACCCCGACAGCGAACCAGACACAAGAGGGAAAACTTTCTAGTCAACTCGACAGCGAATCACACAACAGGGGAAACTTTCTCGTCAACTCGACAGCGAATCACACAACAGGGGAAACTTTCTCGTCAACCCGACAGCGAACCAGACACAACAGGGGAAACTTTCTGGTCAATCTGACAGCGAATAAGAAACAACAACAAATAATGTTGATATAAGTTAGTTTCTGAAATCCGATATTTAAAAAAAAGAAGGAAATTTTCAGCGAAATGCGACATCTGCTGTTGTTTAGATGCTCGAAGATCCTGTATACGTCGTTGGAACCTTAATTCTGATAGATAAAGCGCTGCAATAACGGGGTTTGATGTTTACCCGAAGCCTAATCTGATTGATTCCTAACCTGGTTTGAAGAACCACTAACTTCATCTAGAAATCAATATATGTCCAGCAACACTCCCGCAGCACCGCGGTTGCCTGACTTGAACAGATTTCTGCAACACGACCCCCCTGGAGATGGTTGATGTCAGATTGAGGGAGAGCCTGTCAGTCCGATAGATGTAAACCTTCGCCAGGACTCAACGACCAGTGTTAATAATACTCTGTACACAGGTGTACTCCATTGGGTCCTTACAACAAGGGTATACTGCATTGGGACAGTCCTTACAACAAGGGTATACTGCATTGGGACAGTCCTTACAACAAGGGTATATTGGAAAAGTCCTTGCAACACGGGTATACTGAGAAAGTCCTTACAACAAGGGTATATTGGAAAAGTCCTTGTAACACGGGTATACTGAGAAAGTCCTTACAACACGGGTATACTGAGAAAGTCCGTACAACACGGGTATACTGAGAAAGTCCTTACAACACGGGTATATTGGTAAAGTCCTTACAACACGGGTGTACTGAGAAAGTTCTTACAACACGGGTATACTGAGAAAGTCTTTACAACATGGGTGAACTGGGAAAGTCCTTACACAACGGGTATATTGGTAAAGTCCTTGCAACACGTAGAGGACTGTTGGTGGGACAGAGAAGAAAAGACAGACAATCTCTTTCTCTCGTCTAGTGGCCATGTGGAGAGAAGAGCAGATAGTCTTACAGTTAGAGAACTGTTGGTGGGACAGTGAAGAAAACACAGACAATCTCTATCTCTCGTCTAGTGGCCATGTGGAGAGAAGAGCAGATAGAGAACTGTTGGTGGGACAGAGAAGAAAAGGGCGGACAGTCTCACAGACAGGAGAATACATAGACAATTTCACAGACCCGAGAATAGACAGACCTTCTCAGAGAAGGAGAATAGACAGACAATCTCAGAGACAGGAGAATAGACAGAAAATCTCAGGGACAGGAGAATAGACAATCTCATAGACAGTGTCACTACTCAACGCCCGCCATCTTGTCGTTTGCTTATCTTGTAGCCACTAGGGGGCGTTTCCCTGAGGTTGGAGGCCAGAGATCAAAGGTTAATTATGTGGTGGGAGTGTGTATATGATGTATGAGTGTGTACGATATGCGCGCCCTCGTGTGTAGTGTGGGTGTGGATGGGCACACACTGTGGGCGGGGAATCATTAGATTGTGCGCTGCCGAAAACTTAAGGCCTGTACTAGCGGGACTTCTAGGTCAACGTTCTGTAACGTTTGTTGACTTCTTTCGGTGGCTTGAAATATCTAGTCTGTAATTTGGTCTGTATAAACGTTACTGCTTTTAGTCTAGTCAGTGGTCCCGTTGCATCTGTAGGCCGCATCAGAGATGTAAACAGCGGGGAATGGAGAATGAGAAGCGACAACGAATTTTATGATCTGTTTAAATCAGCATTGATCACTGACATCCTAATACTATTAGTAATAGACTGCTGCACTGGTTGGGGCATATTGAGAGAATGTCAGATGACAGAGAAGTAAAAACTGTATACACAAGGGAGATGAATGGTCGTAGACCACGAGGCAGACCTAGAGGACGATGGAGAGATCATGACCAGACAGACCTGCAAACACTTAGTGTCACTAACAGGAAAGAGAAAGCCAAACAAAGAGATGAATGGAGGCAGGCGATATCTGCACCAATGAATCTCAAGGGCTCGGAATGCTGAAGAAGAAGAAGACCTATAGGCCAGAAGTTTTGCCTTGATATATCCTAACGAGCACAATCTTGGAGTATGTTTTCTGCATCCTAAAGTTCTGTACCAACACATCATAATCTTCTTCTTCTCCTTGTTTTTGTTGTTGTTCTTCATCTTCTTGTTCTTGTTGTTGTTGTTGTTCTTCTTCTTCTTCTTCTTTTTCTTGTTCTTGTTGTTGTTGTTGTTGTTGTTGCTCTTCTTCTTCTTCTTCTTCTTTTTCTTCTTCTTCTACTTCTTCTTCTTCTTCTTCTTCTTCTTCTTCTTCTTCTTCTTCTTCTTCTTCTTCTTCTTCTTCTTCTTCTTCTTCTTCTTCTTCTTCTTCTTCTTCTTCTTCTTCTTCTTCTTCTTCTTCTTCTTCTTCTTCTTCTTCTTCCTTTTCTTCTACTGCTTCTTCTTCTTCTTCTTCTTCTTCTTCTTCTTCTTCTTCTTCTTCTTCTTCTTCTTCTTCTTCTTCTTCTTCTTCTTCTTCTTCTTCTTCTTCTTCTTCTTCTTTTTCTTGTTGTTGTTGTTGTTGTTGTTGTTGTTGTTGTTGTTCTTCTTCTTCTTCTTCTTCTTCTTCTTCTTCTTCTTCTTCTTCTTCTTCTTCTTCTTCTTCTTCTTCTTCTTCTTCTTCTTCTTCTTCTTCTTCTTCTTCTTCTTCTTCTTCTTCTTCTTCTTCTTCTTCTTCTTCTTCTTCTTCTTCTTCCCCTCCTCTTCTTCTTCTTCTTCTTCTTCTTTATCATCATCATCTTCTCAGCATTCACCAGCTATAAACTCTAGCCGAAAGCTTTGGTCTTGTTCCAGAAGTTGAGTTTTGCCTGCATATCTGTTTGACAGATCTAGCAGATTCGTATGCAGACTGTTGGTTCCTCACCTTGCAGACTGAGGCACTCTGACTTTGAAGGACACACATCCAAATAGTTGCCTTTTATGACATGCTTGTTATAGGGCAGTGGATTTACCCTTTGCCCTCCAAAATGGAACCCCGCAACCCATACGGAGAGGTACCAACACATGGCTCGCATATACGTGTGTATACTAGCAAGATTTGTGCTGTGTGTGTAACGCATTATTACATCATTAGACAAAGGCTAACGCTGAACAAAATATTTCAGTACTCTCTTTCCTATACCTGGCATGAGGATTATGGAGTCACTAGGGAAGATGCCAGTTTGTCCAGTAACTGTTATTTGGTCATTTTATACAGTGCTTTCACACTGGCAGAACATACGTTCCTATGTTTGTTGCTAACTGTGAGTAACAAAGTAATAAAGAAAAGCATTTGTATTTCATAAATTTGGATTTGTGCAATTTTTAAAATTTTAAGGCTCATTATTTCTCCATGTTAAATCTGAGCTTTGCTTCTGTATCTCTTCCCTGACTTGAACACCAGAAGACAATGTTTTTTGTCTTCTGACTGGTATGACTAACAGGTGTTGATCTTCTTTAAAAAACTTCAAGACATGCATACAGACAGTGCACATAGCACACATCATCATTTACTACCCCTGAAAGTTCCTTTTGCTGACATGTCCACATCTTGTGTCCCACACAGGCTCCCTGTCAGGCAATGAGTGACAGTGACTGTCATCTTCATGTGTCAGCAACCATGGCAACAATCCAGCCCTCTAGTGACTCTGAATGGCAGCTCTACCAGGTTCTACAGAGGGCCAACCTGCTCAACTACTTTGAAACATTCATAAGTCAAGGTGGGTGTCTTCAGCTGCTCATTGTGTATCATCTGGCTGTTGTCTGATGTATTGGGTACACACAGACTCGCACATATACACAACACATAGACACACACATATACACAACACATAGACACACCTATATACACAACACATAGACATGCACATATACACAACACATAGACACACCTATATACACAACACATAGACACACCCATATACACAACACATAGACATGCACATATACACAACACATAGACACAACACATATACACAACACATAGACACACATATACACAACACATAGACACACCCATATACACAACACATAGACAATCACATATAAGCAACACATATACACAACACATAGACACACATATATACACAACAAATAGACACATACATATACACAACACATAGACACACCTATATACACAACACATAGACACACACACATATACACAACACATAGACACACATAGACACACACACATATACACAACACATAGACACACATAGACACACACACATATACACAACACACAGACACACACATACAAACAACACTTAGACACACCCATATACACAACACATAGACACACACATACAAACAACACATACAAACAACACATACACAGCACATAGACACACACACATATGCACAACACATAGACACACACACAAATACACCACACATATATACAACACATAGTCACACACACATACACAACACATATACACAACATATATACACAACACATATACACAACACATAGACACACACATATACACAACACAGAGAAATGCACATATACACAAAACATGGACACACACATATATACAACACATAGACACACACACATACACAAAACATAGACACACACATATACAAAACACATTGACACACATAAATACACAATACATAGGCACACATATACACAACACACAGACACACACATATATACAACACATAGACACTAATATATACACAACACATAGACACTCATATATACAACACATATACACAACACATAGACACACACATATATACAACACATAGACAAACACAAATGCATAACATAGACACACCACACAGACACACACATATATACAACACATAGACATTTAATACATGCATGTACAGACACATATGCACAACACACATATATAAAAACATATAAATAAAACTTGTGTGTATAGACACACATATATATGTATGTATGTACTTAGAGACACATATATACACACATATACACACATATCGGCATATGTGCACACACACATGCACACAGAAACTCCTAGTAGTCTTAGTCAATGTTTGGACATTACTGGCCGACAGTTGACCCCAAACTTGCTCCTTTCCTGTGTCAGTGAATATCAACTCAAATGTCCCTCACTGTCCTATTTGAGTGTGTGTGCAGTAAATGCATAAGGCAGTTGCTAGAGATGCCAAAGCCAATAGTCACCACAAAAAATGTAGTTTGCCATTGATGGAAATAGTCTATCCCTATAAGTTAGCCATTTACATGCAGAATTATTGTATAAGGTATTTCACCAACTACATGCCTTATTGAACATTGCACCAAAATTCAACAGCTGCACGAACAAAAGGCATTCCACATGAAAAACACAACTCACAGTGCTGTACCAAGCACTTAACTTAGTAGCTTAGGCAGTGACACTGTAGAATTCCTTCCATGTGTGGAAACTGCATTGGCCAAGCAATGTCCGAAGCACCCAACAAAATACAAATCTTCAAAGCCAAAATTTATGCCGTGCCTATCTTCCATTTTGGACTAGAACTTTGGCACAGAGAAGCTGAGATCCAATAATTTTAACAGTTGTTGAATTCTGTTTGAATGACGATTTTGTCTTTGAGATTATGTTATTGGTGTGCATATGTCCAGCACTGGGCACTCCAAGCCAGCGACATTGGCCAGCTCTTTCTTGGAATAGAAACAAGTCAAATCCAGTAGCCTGGCAACTGTCTTCTTCCAGCAGCTCACACCAGAACACTGTGGTCATGAGTTCTAAGACTAATGGGTCCCTGGCTTGCTGAGTTTTATAAGATCCATCTGGTTAAATACTACGACAGGCCTAGCAAGTCAGCAGTGGATAAAATCTCACTCAAAGAAACAATAAGAAGTAAAATTAGCATTATACTTACAGAAACCTGTACTAAACTACACCAAGAGACAACAGATAAAATGTTTGAACCTGTACTAAACTACATCAAGAGACAACAGATAAAATGTTTGAACCTGTACTAAACTACTTCAATAAAAAACAGATAAAATGTTTGAACCTGTACTAAACTACATCAAGAGACATCAGATAAAATGTTTGAACCTGTACTAAACTACTTCAAGAGACAAAATATAAAATGTTTGAACCTGTACTAAAATACATCAAGAGACAACAGATAAAACATTTGAACCTGTACTAAACAACATCAAGAGACAACAGATAAAATGTTTAAACCTGTACTAAACTACATCAAGAGACAAGAGATAAAACATTTGAACCTGTACTAAACAACATCAAGAAACAACAGATAAAATGTTTGAACCTGTACTAAACAACATCAAGAGACAACAGATAAAATGTTTGAACCTGTACTAAACAACATCAAGAGACAACAGATAAAATGTTTGAACCTGTACTAAACAACATCAAGAGACAACAGATAAAACATTTGAACCTGTACTAAACAACATCAAGAGACAACAGATAAAATGTTTGAACCTGTACTAAACAACATCAAGAGACAACAGATAAAACATTTGAACCTGTACTAAACTACACCAAGAGACAACATATAAAATGTTTAAACCTGTACTAAACTACATCAAGAGACAACAGATAAAATGTTTAAACCTGTACTAAATTACACCAAGAGACAACAGACAAAATGTTTAAACCTGTACTAAACTACATCAAGAGACAACAGACAAAATATTTAAACCTGTACTAAACTACACCAAGAGACAACAAATAAAATGTTTGTGCCTGTACTAAATTACACCAAGAGACAACAGATAAAATGTTTGAACCTGTACTAAATTACACCAAAAGACAACAGATAAAATGTTTGTGCCTGTACTAAATTACACCAAGAGACAACAGATAAAATGTTTGAACCTGTACTAAATTACACCAAAAGACAACAGATAAAATGTTTGTGCCTGTACTAAACTACATCAAGAGACAACAGATACAAAGTTTAAACCTGTACTAAACTACATCAAGAGACAATAGATAAAATATTTGAACCTGCATCAAGACTACCACCACAGACAGCCCTGTCACTTAGACATGATTGAAGCAACTAGATGTCGACCACACAAGTAATGGATACATGTAATATCCAAAACTGTAAATACCAACATCGATATACTTCATACCAAGTATTCCCACCTGTTGCCTCTTCAAAATCTGACACTGAAAGGCAGAACAGGACAACAACAAAAGAAGAAGAAGATAATGTAACTAAAAAATAAATATGGCTATAAATGTCAGAGCTGAGAATATGTTTGACTGAACAATGTGCACATGTCAGAGCTGAGAATATGTTTGACTGAACAATGTGCACATGTCAGAGCTGAGAATATGTTTGACTGAACAATGTGCTCATGTCAGAGCTGAGAATATGTTTGACTGAACAATGTGCACCTGTCAGAGCTGAGAATATGTTTGACTGAACAATGTGCTCATGTCAGAGCTGAGAATATGTTTGACTGAACAATGTGCTCATGTCAGAGCTGAGAATATGTTTGACTGAACAATGTGCACCTGTCAGAGCTGAGAATATGTTTGACTGAACAATGTGCTCATGTCAGAGCTGAGAATATGTTTGACTGAACAATGTGCTCGTGTCAGAGCTGAGAATATATTTGACTGAACAATGTGCACCTGTCAGAGCTGAGAATATGTTTGACTGAACAATGTGCACCTGTCAGAGCTGAGAATATGTTTGACTGAACAATGTGCACCTGTCAGAGCTGAGAATATGTTTGACTGAACAATGTGCACCTGTCAGAGCTGAGAATATGTTTGACTGAACAATGTGCACCTGTCAGAGCTGAGAATATGTTTGACTGAACAATGTGCACCTGTCAGAGCTGAGAATATGTTTGACTGAACAATGTGCACCTGTCAGAGCTGAGAATATGTTTGACTGAACAATGTGCTCATGTCAGAGCTGAGAATATATTTGACTGAACAATGTGCACCTGTCAGAGCTGAGAATATGTTTGACTGAACAATGTGCACCTGTCAGAGCTGATAATATGTTTGACTGAACAATGTGCACCTGTCAGAGCTGAGAATATGTTTGACTGAACAATGTGCACCTGTCAGAGCTGAGAATATGTTTGACTGAACAATGTGCACCTGTCAGAGCTGAGAATATGTTTGACTGAACAATGTGCACATGTCAGAGCTGAGAATATGTTTGACTGAACAATGTGCACATGTCAGAGCTAAGAATATGTTTGACTGAACAATGCACACATGTCAGAGTTAAGAATATGTTTGACACAATGTGCACATGTTAGATGTTGTATTTTGCTGAAGAAGTCAGCCTCAAGAGATCAATCTTATTGTAGAAATCATGTAGTCAATACTCAGCGATCTAAGTGTAGATTGTTCACTTTAATAAACATTACCATGCAGATCAAGTCTGCGTCTACTAGGATCTTTCTAGAGCAGGGTTGTCAACTCCAGTAACTTTGACTTATCCTCTCTACATTAAGGCTGCTATCTGTAAGTCATCCAGATCATATTCTGAGAGCAAGTTTATATATGTTTGTGTGTATGTATGTAAATGTACATATGTATGTCTATGTATGTATGCATATGTGGTGTTTGTAAATGTATGTGTGTGTTTGTGTGTGTGTATGTATGTATATATATATATATATATATATATATATATATATATATATATATATATATATATATATATATATATATATATATATGAGTGGTCTGTGTTTTTATAACATCACTAGTGGCAGATGAGAAATGACCGTTAACTAAAAAATATGTTGCATGACCACAAAGACTTGATCACCCAGACTCTGATGCTCAATGTGACTGTTTGCTCAGGTGGGGATGATGTACAGCAGTTGTGTGAGGCAGGAGAGGAGGAATTCTTGGAGATTATGGCCTTAGTCGGGATGGCCAGTAAACCTCTTCATGTACGAAGATTACAAAAATCTTTGCAGGAATGGCTGTCCAACCCAGCAGCTTTTGAAGGTAGGCACCACAGAGTGCATTCCCCTGTTGTTTTTTATGTTAGGTAGCACAGAGTGCATATTCCAGTCTGTTGTGTCAGGTAGCACAGAGTGCATTCCCTGTCTGTTGTGTTAGGTAGCACAGAGTGCATTCCCTGTCTGTTGTGTTAGGTAGCACAGAGTGCATTCCCTGTCTGTTGTGTTAGGTAGCACAGAGTGCATTCCCTGTCTGTTGTGTTAGGTAGCACATAGTGCATTTCCCTGTCTGTTGTGTTAGGTAGCACATAGTGCATTTCCCTGTCTGTTGTGTTAGGTAGCACAGAGAGCATTCCCTGTCTGTTGTGTTAGGTAGCACAGAGTGCATTCCCTGTCTGTTGTGTTAGGTAGCACAGAGTGCATTCCCTGTCTGTTGTGTTAGGTAGCACAGAGTGCATTCCCTGTCTGTTGTGTTAGGTAGCACAGAGTGCATTCCCTGTCTGTTGTGTTAGGTAGCACAGAGTGCATTCCCTGTCTGTTGTGTTAGGTAGCACAGAGAGCATTCCCCTGTCTGTTGTGTTAGGTAGCACAGAGTGCATTCCCCTGTCTGTTGTGTTAGGTAGCACAGAGTGCATTCCCCAGTCTGTTGTGTTAGGTAGCACATAGTGCATTTCCCTGTCTGTTGTGTTAGGCACCACAGAGTGAATTTCCCTGTCTGTTGTTTTAGGCACCAGAGAGTGCATTTCCCTGGCTGTTGTGTTAGGCAGCACAAAGGGCATTTCACTGTCTGTTGTGTCAGGTAGCACAGAGTGCATTTCACTGTCTGTTGTGTTAGGTAGCAAAGAGTGCATTTTCCTGTCTGTTGTGTTATGTAGCACAGAGAGTATTTCTCTGTCTGTTGTGTTAGGTCGCACAGAGTACATTCCTCTGTCTGTTGTGTTAAGTGCCACTTGCTGTTTTTTCATCCTTCTGTTTGTTTCATCAATTTATTTATTTCATTATTTTATTTGTTTGATCATTTTATTTGCTTCATCACTTTATTTGTTTCATCACGTTATTTACGTCATCACGAAATTATCTGTTTATCACTTTATTTCCAGTGATCAAGAAATATCCAGCACATGGTGTCAACAATGGCAGTCAGTCATCTCTGAACATGACCACTGGTCATCCTGCAGACAGACCACATGATGATGATAATCCATGTCCAGCTCAGCCATCCCCAGGGTTAGCCCTCAGTCATTGCAGGTCACAGGTTAGAGGTCACAGGTCACAGAACAGAGACACAATCTCTTCTGCTGGAAGCCATTTTGATGACCCCAATTCTGGAGATTCTCAACTTGAGGACTACAAAGACATAGTGAGAGACTTCTGCTGTTCTGTTTCTGATTACAGGGCGTATGCTTATCATACGTGTGTCACATCTATTAGACAGTTGTGGGTGTAATGCCTGCGGCAGTACAGTGATCCCAGGTGTTTCTCAAATCGTCAAAAATTTGCAATTTTCCTACACTCAGCCCACAATCTCTAATGCCCAGTCTACTGTCTTCAGTTTTACAGTATTTCACTCTTAGACAACACTGTTACTCCATTCAAGACAAATTAATCAGCATTCTTCTTTTTCTCCTCAGTGCTCACCAGCTGCAAACTTGGGAGGAAAGTTGTGGTTATTTATCCACTTATGGACTGTTTTCTTTCAAAACTTGAGTTTAGTGGGCATATTTGTTTCACTGATCTGGCTTATTTGTATGCAGACTGTTGGTTCCAATGGCATGCTGGCGGGGGGTGGGGGGGGGGAGGGTGGGCTATCAACCTGGACAACCGACTAACAACCTGGAGTATATGACTAACACCTAAACAATATAACTAACAACCTGGATAACAAACTATCAACCTGGACAACCACATATCAACCTGGATAACTGACTAACAACCTACCTGGAGTATATAACTAACAATTTAGATAACAAAATAATGACCTGGATAACAAACTAACGACCTGGTTATCAAACTAACAAGTTAAACCCAAGAACTCTGTTCACTTAAGGTTTTGTGAAACATCTTGCAGAATCCAACTTGCCATTATTCCACACAGTTAGGAAGAAGACCTAATGTTAACATTTAGCCAGTGACCTAATGTTAACAATCAGTCACTGACCTAATGTTAGCATTCAGTCAGTGACCTAATTTTAACATTCAGCCAGTGACCTAATGTTAACATTCAGCCAGTGACCTAATGTTAAGTTCAGCCAGTAACCTAATGCTAAAATTCAGCCAGTGACCTAATGTTAACATTCAGCCAGTGACCTAATGATAACATTCAGTCATTGACCTAATGTTAAAATTCAGTCAGTGACCTAACATTAACATGCACTCAATGATATAATGTTAACATTTAGCCAGTGACCTAATGTTAACAATCAGTCATTGACCTAATGTTAACATTCAGCTAATGAACTAATGTCAACATTCAGCTAGTGACCTAATGTTAACATTCAGTTATTGACCTAATGTTAGCATTCAGCCAGTGACCTAATGTTAACATTCAGTTATTGACCTAATGTTAACATTCAGCTAATGACCTAATGTTAACATTCAGCTAGTGGTTTAATGTTAGCATTCAGTCATTGACCTAATGTTAACATTCAGCCAGTGGCCTAATGTGAACATGCAGTCATTGAGCTAATGTTAACATTCAGCCAGTGACCTAATGTTAACATTCAGTCATTGAGCTAATGTTAACATTCAGTCAGTGGCCTAATGTTAACATTCAGTCATTGACCTAATGTTAACATTCAGCCAGTGCTTACTATCCCACAGTTTAAAAAAAAAAATCCTAACAAGGAGTTTATTGGTGGATATTTGTCCTCTAGGCTGATCAAATATACCCAGACACTGCGGCCTTGCCAGACGCTCAGTTGTCGGAGCACCACGATATGGACATGTCAGACCCTCAGTTTATGGAGCAGCACATCATTGTCATGCCAGACCCTCGGTTGTCGGAGCATCATTTGGCTGCAATAGCCACAGCTGCGGCATGTTTAGCTCAAGATTTACCTCCCTTGGAGCCCAAATCTATGCCCAAAAAGCCGATTTGCCAGGACATTTTGGTGAGTTCTTCCGTAAATGTACATAAGAATTTTAGTTATGCTAGTTATCTTAAAATAAATAAAATGTAAAGGATGTGGTGATGAGATCTTGGTTTTCATCACACACACACACACACACACACACATGCGTGCACCCACAGACACATGCATCATACTTTGATGTTGATATAAATTTGGGAGAGACAGATATCTATGAATGATAACTCCCATTGACATGTGTGTATGTATACGCTTGTGCATTTATGTGTATACATATATTTGTAAACATATATATAAATATATTTACAAATATACATACACAAGGGTGCACATACACATATGTCAGTGAGAGTTATCATTCTTAAATATCTGTTTCTCTCAAACTGACTCTTGTTTTGTTTCTCTCCTTCCACTTGATATTCTTGCAGTCTGAGTCGGGGTTGCAGATTCACAGACATCATTTGATTCTGACAACTGCTCTACCCTTGAACACACACACTGGTCTGTGGGTGACTTCATAACCATTTTGTGGTGCCCCATTGTGTCTGTGCTCTATGTCAGTATGGTTGAGCTACATTTCCAGCATTTGTACTGGTGTAATTCTTATCGTCGGGATGTTAATCATATAGACTGCAATCTTTGAAGAAATAACTTTAAAAGAAAATTGTTCAACCAGGTCTACTCTCACCTATCTTCACATTGTTCAACCAGGTCTACTCTCACCCGTGTTTACATTGTTCAACCAGGTCAACTCTCACCCATGTTTATATTGTTCAACCAGGTCTACTCTCACCTGTGTTTACATTGTTCAACCAGGTCCACTCCCACCCGTGTTTACATTGTTCAACCAGGTCTACTCTCACCCATGTTTACATTGTTCAACCAGGTCCACTCTCACCCATGTTTACATTGTTCAACCAGGTCTACTCTCACCCATGTTTACATTGTTCAACTAGGTCCACTCCCACCCGTGTTTACATTGTTCAACTAGGTCCACTCCCACCCGTGTTTACATTGTTCAACTAGGTCCACTCCCACCCGTGTTTACATTGTTCATGCCTTCAAGCCTATCAGCCCGATTGTTTCCTTGTACTCTATCACTCCCTGGCACAAACATGGAAAGTATTTATCAGCCTTGACCTCTTCAGAATCTGTCATCAATTGTCTTCGAGACCAACCCTTCTTGATCTTCACATGTGTACTCGTTTGTCTTCGAGACCAACCCTTCTTGATCTTCACATGTGTACTTGTTTGTCTTCGGGAATCTTTAGTGAGGCCATTTTTAGAGTCCCAACAAATCTGTCAGTGTATTTGGTGGGATCTTTGGTAGATTCATTGGTTCAATCTGAAATTTCTTGTTTGTGTGTTCTGTGTGACAGTCTGTGATGCAGATGTCCACCGATGATCCACACAGAATGAGTGCCTTGAGAAAATATGCAGCTATCTATGGCCGATTTGACTCAAGGCGCAGAAATGACAAACCTATGAATATGCATGAGGTGAGTCAGTGACTGTGTTTGTCACTTCATTGTGCACATCTTTTTACTTATTTTGTTTTTGGTTTTTTTATGGCATTTGTGAAAGCAACGAAATAAAACAACAGAAACATATAAATAATGCAGGTTTACAAGAAATGAATAATCCATAAACTGACAGAAATGTGTGAGCATGTCATGGGATAGAGTAGATACTGACAGTCAGGAATGTTTGAGCATGTCATGGGATAGAGTAGATACTGACAGTCAGGAATGTTTGGACATGTCCATTGATAGAGTAGATACTGACAGTCAGGAATGTTTGGACATGTCCATTGATAGAGTAGATACTGACAGTCAGGAATGTTTGAGCATGTCAAGGGATAGAGTAGATACTGACAGTCAGGAATGTTTGGACATGTCATGGGATAGAGTAGATACTGACAGTCAAGAATGTTTGAGCATGTCATGGGATATAGTAGATACTGACAGTCAGGAATGTTTAGAACATGTCATGGGATAGAGCAGATACTGACAGTCAAGAATGTTTGGACATGTCATGGGATATAGTAGATACTGACAGTCAGGAATGTTTGGACATGTCATGGGATAGAGTAGATACTGACAGTCAGCAATGTTTGAGCATGTCAAGGGATAGAGCAGATACTGACAGTCAGGAAGGTTTGAGCATGTCAAGGGATAGAGTAGATACTGACAGTCAGGAATGTTTGGACATGTCATGGGATAGAGTAGATACTGACAGTCAGGAATGTTTGGACATGTCATAGGATAGAGTAGATACTGACAGTCAGGAATGTTTGGACATGTCAAGGGATAGAGTAGATACTGACAGTCAGGAATGTTTGAGCATGTCAAGGGATAGAGTAGATACTGACAGTCAGGAATGTTTGAGCATGTCATGGGATATAGTAGATACTGACAGTCAGGAATGTTTGGACATGTCCATTGATAGAGTAGATACTGACAGTCAGGAATGTTTGAGCATGTCATGGGATAGAGTAGATACTGACAGTCAGGAATGTTTGGACATGTCATGGGATAGAGTAGATACTGACAGTCAGGAATGTTTGAGCATGTCATGGGATAGAGAAGATACTGACAGTCAGGAATGTTTGAGCATGTCAAGGGATAGAGTAGATACTGACAGTCAGGAATGTTTGAGCATGTCATGGGATAGAGTAGATACTGACAGTCAGGAATGTTTGAGCATGTCAAGGGATAGAGTAGATACTGACAGTCAGGAATGTTTGAGCATGTAAAGGGATAGAGTAGATACTGACAGTCAGGAATGTTTGAGCATGTCATGGGATAGAGTAGATACTGACAGTCAGGAATGTTTGAGCATGTCATGGGATAGAGTAGATACTGACAGTCAAGAATGTTTGAGCATGTCAAGGGATAGAGTAGATACTGACAGTCAGGAATGTTTGAGCATGTCATGGGATAGAGTAGATACTGACAGTCAGGAATGTTTGGACATGTCATGGGATAGAGTAGATACTGACAGTCAGCAATGTTTGGACATGTCATGGGATAGAGTAGATACTGACAGTCAGGAATGTTTGAGCATGTCATGGGATAGAGTAGATACTGACAGTCAGGAATGTTTGGACATGTCCATTGATAGAGTAGATACTGACAGTCAGCAATGTTTAGGCGTGTTGGGAGAACAAATAAGCTGCAAAACCTGGTGACTGTTGTAAAGTTCTTGTGAAATAAATAAGGGGAAGACAAAGAGGTAAATACCTGAATGGCAAATCTGAGACTCTGGTGTTGATGTAATCATGGCAAACAACTGTATGATGTAATATATGTAACTTTTACTGGCTATGTATGAAAATAGGACTCTGTGTATGTGTGTGTGTGTGCATGTGTGTGTGTGTTTGAGAGAGAGAGAGAGAAAAAGAGAGAGGGAGAGAGAGAGGGAGACAGAGAGAGAGAAAGAGAGAGGGAGAAAGAGAGAAAGAGAGAGAAAGAGAGAGAGAGAGAAGGGGGGGGGGAACTATTGTTTGACATGGCCCAGTTTGTTTCAGTAACAGTATATACTGTCAGCATATTTTGTGTAATCACTATCACTGTTGTTATTGTTGTTAATATTGATGAAGTTCTACTGAACCCATGCAGATCTCCGTCAACGAAGCTGCGGCTCAGTTATGCGGCCATTGTCCAGCTCTACTGACCCGCCGTGAAGAGCTGTTTCCCTTGGCTAGACAGGTGGTCAGGGAGAGTGGCTACCAGTATTCTAAAGGTCACTCCAGGTAAGACAGCCACAGACAGCTTCTGATTGCCTATGATTTATGTTGTGATTTCAACATCAAAATTCTTTCATTTGTTGTTTAGTTGTGACCTCAACAAATGACATCAAATACCAAATGTTAACATTGTATCACTTCCACAAATACACTAATTCATCTGCAACAGTTTCACAAATACATAATACATCTGTAACAATTCTACAAATACACTATTTCACCAATAAAACGTCTACATTTAGACTAATTTTAACTATATCTGCTCTGAAAATAGACTTATGTTATGTCTATGAATAGACACATATTACCTACAACAGTTCTGCTAACAGACTTATTTAACTATATCAGTTCTACAAACTATCCTTCTATTAGTCTATGCTATGTGGCACTTGTAGTCATGTCTGTAGCCTTACGCACTGTGTGCTGTCTGTCAGTTTCTGACAGAGATGAACTTTCATTGGGTGCACGTTAGACAATGCCACCTGATCAGTCAACAAACCAACTAACCAACCAACCAAGCAACTAACTAACCAATGAAGCAAATAGCTAACCAACCAACTGACTAACTAAGCATCTAACTAACAAACCAAGCAAATAACTAACCAACCTAGCAACTAACCAAGCAACCAAGCAAATAACTAACCATCCAAGCAAATTACTAACCAACCAAGCAACTAACTAACCAATGAAGCAAAAAGCTAACCAACCAACTGACTAACCAACCAAGCAAATAACTAACCAACCAAGCAACTAACTAACCAACCAAGCAAATAACTAACCAACCAAGCAAATTACTAACCAACCAAGCAACTAACTAACCAAGCAACTAACCAACTAACTAACTGATCAACCAAGCAACTATCCAACTAACTAACCAACCAACTAACTAACCAAGCAGCCAGCTAACTAACAAAACAATCAACCAACCAAGCAACTAACCAACTAACTAACTAACCAACCAAGCAACTAACCCACTAACCAATCAAGCAACTTACTAACTTACCAACTAAGCAACTAACCAACCAAGCAGCTAACCAACCAAGCAACTAACCAACCAAGCAAATTACTACAACCAAGCAACTAACTAACTAACCAAGCAACTAACCAACTAACTAACTGGTCAACCAAGCAACTATCCAACTAACTAACCAACAAACTAACTAACCAAGCAACCAACTAACTAACAAACCAATCAACCAACCAAGCAACTAACCAACTAACTAACGAACCAACCAAGCAACTAATCCACTAACTAACCAACCAAGCAACTAACCCACTAACTAACCAACCAAGCAACTAACCAACTAACTAACCAACCAAGCAACTAACCAACTAACTAACCAACCAAGCAACTAACCCACTAACTAACCAACCAAACAACTTACTAACTTATCAACTAAGCAACTAACCAACCAAGCAGCTAACCAACCAAGCAACTAACCAACTAACTAACCAATCAAGCAGCCAACTAACAAACCAATCAACCAACCAACCAAGCAACTAACCTACTAACCAACCAACCAAGCAACTTACTAACTAACCAAGCAACTAACCAACTAACTAACCAATCAAGCAACTTACTAATCAACCAACAAACTAACCAAGCTACTAATTAGATAACTAACTAAGCTAACTAATTTACTAACTAGCTAGCTAGCTAACAATATAACTAACTAAATAAATGTATTTAGTATTCCATGTTGATGGCAATTTGATGTCTCTAGTTTGACAAAAATTTTGACCTAAACTCAAAGGGCAATGACTCAATATCTGTCTGCTATTGTTTCCAGCAAGTGCTTATATGGGACTACTGAGTCTGTTGTCTGATATGTGATATCTAGTCTGTTGTCTGATATGTGATATCTAGTCTGTTGTCTGATATGTGATGTCTAGTCTGTTGTCTGATATATGATGTCTAGTCTGTTGTCTGATATGTGATGTCTAGTTAGTTGCCTGATATGTGCTGTCTAGTTTGTTCTGATATGTGATGTCTAGTTTGTTCTTTGATATGTGATGTCTAATCTCTTGTCTGATATGTGATGTCTAGTTTGTTGTTTGATATGTGATGTCTAGTTTGTTCTTTGATATGTGATGTCTAGTTATTTTCTTTGATATGTGATGTCTAGTTTGTTCTTTGATATGTGATGTCTAGTCTGTTGTCTGAAATATGATGTGCAGTTTGTTATGATATATGATGTCTAGTCTGTTGTCTGATATGTGATGTCCAGTTTGTTCTGATATGTGATGTCTAGTCTGTTGTCTGATATGTGATGTCCTGTTTGTTGTCTGATATGTGATGTCCAGTTTGTTCTGATATGTGATGTCTAGTCTGTTGTCTGATATGTGATGTCCAGTTTGTTCTGATATGTGATGTCTAGTCTGTTGTCTGATATGTGATGTCCAGTCTAGTTTGTTCTTTGATATGTGATGTCCAGTTTGTTCTTTGATACCTGATGTCTAGTTTGTTCTTTGATATGTGATGTCCAGTTTGTTGTTTGATATGTGATATCCAGTTTGTTCTGATATGTGATGTCTAGTCTGTTGTCTGATATGTGATGTCCAGTTTGTTCTTTGATACATGATGTTCAGTTGTTTGATATGTGATGTCTAGTTTGTTGTTTGATATGTGATGTCTAGTTTGTTGTTTGATATGTGATGTCTAGTTTGTTGTTTGATATGTGATGTCTAGTTTGTTCTTTGATATGTGATGTCTAGTTTGTTGTTTGATATGTGATGTCTAGTTTGTTCTTTGATACATGATGTCTAGTTTGTTCTTTGATATGTACTGTCTAGTTTGTTTTTTGAAATGTGATGTCTAGTTTGTTCCTTGATATGTGATGTCTAGTTTGTTCTTTGATACATGATGTCTAGTTTGTTCTTTGATATGTGATGTCTAGTTTGTTGTTTGATATGTGATGTCCAGTTTGTTTTTTGATATGTGATGTCCAGTTTGTTGTTTAATATGTGATGTCTAGTTTGTTGTCTGATATGTGATGTCTAGTTTCTTCTTTGATATGTGATGTCTAGTTTGTTCTTTGATATGTGATGTCTAGTTTGTTCTCTGATATGTGATGTCCAGTTTGTTTTTTGATATGTGATGTCCAGTTTGTTCTTTGATATGTGATGTCTAGTTTGTTCTTTGATATGTGATGTCTAGTTTGTTCTTTGATATGTGATGTCCAATTTGTTCTTTGATTTGTGATGTCTAGTTTGTTCTTTGATATGTGATGTCTAGTTTGTTCTTTGATATGTGATGTCCAGTTTGTTCTTTGATATGTGATGTCTAGTTTGTTCTTTGATATGTGATGTCTAGTTTGTTCTTTGATACGTGATGTTCAGTTTGTTCTTTGATATGTGATGTCTAGTTTGTTCTTTGATATGTGATGTCTAGTTTGTTCTTTGATATGTGATGTCCAGTTTGTTCTTTGATATGTGATGTCTAGTTTGTTCTTTGATATGTGATATCCAGTTTGTTGTTTGATATGTGATGTCCAGTTTGATATGTGATGTCCAGTTTGTTGTTTGATATGTGATGTGCAGTTTGTTGTTTGATGTGTGATTTCCAGTTTGATATGTGATGTCCAGTTTGTTGTTTGATATGTGATGTCCAGTTTGTTGTTTGAAATATGATGTCTAGTTTGATATATGATGTCCAGTTTGTTGTTTGATATGGGATGCTCAGTTTGTTGTTTGATATGTGATGTCCTGTTTTATATGTGATGTCCAGTTTGTTGTTTGATATGTAATGTCCAGTTTGTTGTTTGATATGTGATGTCCAGTTTGATATGTGATGTCCAGTTTGTAGTTTGATATGTGGTGTCCAGTTTGTTTTTCGACCCAGAGGTCGAACACACAGAAGATGGACCGCAGAAATATCAGAGACACGGTGAAGTACGAAGCGAACAGAAAGGCCCATTCTAAAGATCTCCTATTCCCCTGATGCCACGAGCATTCTAGGAGTAGAGAAAAGAAGATGTAATGTCTAGTTTGCTTTTTGATATATGATGCCTAGTTGATTGTTGACAAATAATAGCTTGTATGATAACCATGTAGTCGTGTCTGTTGTTAGATATTTCATGACAACCATGCACTAATGTTTGACAGTATTGAACACAAAAAATTTTTCCCTGGTTGAGCACTCTTTTGATTGTAACAAATAAGGCAACTGATGTCAGATTTTATCAGTTTTCTAATGTCATCATTGATCATTTCTCTGATAGTATAATTCATCATTTCTCTGATGGTATAATTCTTCAGTTCTCTGATGTCATCATTCATTAATTCTCTGATGTCATCATTCATTAATTCTCTGATGTCATCATTTATCTGTTCTCTAATGTTATCATTCATCAGCTCTCTAATGCCATCATTCATCAATTCTATGATGTTATCATTCATCAGTTCTCTAATGCCATCATTCATCAATTCTATGATATCATCATTCATCAATTCTCTAATGTCATCATTCATCAATTTTCTGATGGTACCATTCATCAGTTCTCTAATGTCATCATTCATAAGTTCTCTGATGTCATGATTCATCAATTCTCTGATGTCATCATTCATAAGTTCTCTGATGTCATCATTCATCAGTTCTCTAATGTCATCATTCATCAGTTCTCTAATGTCATCATTCATCAATTCTCTAATGTCATCAACTTGTTCCAAACTAACCTAGAGACTCTTGACAGAGTACAAAATAATGCCCTCCGATTAATCTGCGGAGCTATGCAGTCTACACCAACTGCTGCATGTGAAATCCATACAAATGTGGAACCCCTCGGGTTGCGGAGAGAAAAAGCCACTTTAGAAATTTATGAAAGATGCGTTAGGAAAAATCGTAACCATCCTAATAGACATCTTGTAGAAAACTGGGAATCCAAACAAAGAATAAAGCACAAATCGGTTTTACACTGTGTAAATGAAATTCAGGACAGATACCACCTCCCAGAAAGACGTCAAGGAATTCAGAATGTTGCAAAAAACCTACCACCACATGCTCGCTT